CCGGACCCTAACTATCTGCAACAGAGAGTTATGATCAACTTAGGGACTGCTAAATGTAGGTATCTGAGGACTCTCCATCTCGAGTCACTGGCAGCTGACCTAAGTTTTTGCAGTTTATAGTTATAGTACTAGACAAGTAAGCTAAAGTGAGCTCCAGACTGAGTCAGTAAAGAAGTGGTTTTGGTTTGTCTTCCTCCTCAAACTGCTTGGCCATGTCCTTGGCCCAGAGTTCATAGCTAGGCTAGTATTCTCTCCTTCTCAGAGCATGAGGCTACAAGGTACAGAATTTCTTTAATACCTAGAGCTACTGGGTGGCAGTCCAATACAGAAAATCTATAGCTTTGTTGAATGCATGTATAGAAGGCCATTGAAGAGAATGAGGGCCATGTGAACACTGTTAGCCATATATAAATGATGTTAGGGCTTATTAAAGTAATGGATAAAAATGGAATACATCATTATAATACCATACAAGCTTGTGATAGACTTTCACTCTATTACATACAGTTCTGGTCACATATCAAAAAGGTTACAGTAAAGCAACCAACCCCCCCCTCCCACCACCACCACCACCGCATGTGCACACACACCCACCCTCCTCAGGAGAACAAGGATGATCAGGAAGGTAGTATGGTTACCACACTAGGAAATTTCATAGACAATTTCATTTGGAAAAAATGGGAATTATACCAAATCTTGAATAGTATTGGATGGCAAAAGGAAATTGTTGAAAATTTACCATTTCTCACAATTTAAGGCTATCCAAAAGAATTAGCACAGCTAATTCTTAGCACAGCTAAAAGAATTAGTAACAGCTTTAAAACAGAGAGTGCTTTTGTCATACACAAGTAATTGTTAAACTTTCCACAGGATGTTGCAGAGACCAAAACTATATACCAATTTACAGTAATAGAGGTCTTTTAAACACAATCTGAAGGCATTCTTTCTCTCAAAATCTATTAAATGTCTGATGGAAAGAATTTGCCTAGGTAAGAGATATCACACATCCCATTTCTTATGTTCTTTTTCCTCAAGCATTTACTGCTGACTGCTGTCAGGGACATGACATTGACTTGATGGACCTGTGGTCTAACTCTATGTGGCCATACTTGCACATAAATTTATATTCCTTATTCCACAGTTCTTAATCTAGTAGGTAGTTATTGCAGAGAAATGCCAGCTATGCTCTGCGGTTCACGTGTCCACACTTTAGTTTTAGATATAGTGAAATCAAAAAAAATGGGTTTAAAATATAGTGAATCATCTACAGTGCTTTGAAGAGGTTTTAAAAATATCTTTTCTCCCTTGTGTAGACTATGACATCTAACTAAACAACATACATATTTTACAGCTGGAGTACTTGTGTCACTAGAATCATGGCTGTGTCATCATTCCACTGGAAGCCCATATTTCAGGGGTTTGTAATTGGACCATAAAACTTTCCTCCAGCATCAGACTTGGCACATATAAGAGAGTCTGAGCTGATCACCAGCTGGGCCAGGAGGGAATTCCTGAAGGATTTTTTGTGCACTCTGTGTATTTATCGGAACATACTGGCTTTGCTTAAAGCCAACTATGTTGAACATGGTTTAAAGACACCAGATTTGAACCATTGATACATTTGTGTATGGAATTTGTTATAATGTTCCTAACAGCAAAGAAATTTTCTGAAAATATATATCTGGAAGAAAGGCTACATTTTAAATTCTCTCAGAATTCTTCTGTCATTTCTTGTAGTTTTCCAAAGTCTGTATTTGACTAAACAGAACCCCACCAGGCCATTTCCTTACAAAGCTAAATGTGAAAATAGCCCTTGAGTTCCCTGATTTTCCTATTCAAAGAAAGCACATCTAGGGCAAAAAAAAAAAAAAAAGGCATTATGCCTAAAGATAATGACAGGTTCCAGCACTGGTGATCAAGTTCCTACTAGACAACTCCAAAGCGATTTACTTGAGATTTGCAAATGCTCATTCCTACTGCCAAATAACCATTCTTGCACTACACTAGATATGCAACTAGAATGACTGCATGGACTCCCATTCACCAGAACTCTGGTTTATGGGAGAGTGGAAATTACACACATCTAAACACTTCTCAGAGCACTGCAAGAGCTTTTCAGAATAATGTATTTCTAAAATATTTTAATTTTTGACTCTAAACAGCAGATAAATACAAATATCTCACAGAAATACAGCTAACAATAGTATAGCTGTTTTTTATATAGCAGTAATAAAGTGGTGTCAGTTAGGCATTCCAGTTTAGACAAAATGCCCCCAAAAATGAAACCTTAGTATTTTTTCTTAGTGAAATGCTGTGATGGTTAAGTGTATTTCAGTCTGTTATTAATTTCTGGAATGTTACTGTCCCTAGAAATTCTTTGATGTCTATATAACTTCATTTTTAAGGGACTGAGCCCTGGCTGTTATGACACTTACAATGCTGATATAGATTGCCAGTGGATTGATATCACAGATGTAAAACCTGGAAGTTACATTCTGAAGGTAATGTTTTCTGAAGGTAATGACTTTCGGGGAGGAGATGGGTTGTTTTTTGCTAAGTAGTAATCATATATGTATATCCTTTTGAACTGTTTTGCTACGTTAGCAACTCAAATTTAGAAATAAACAATACTATGCCTTTTCCCCCTCAAGGTTAGCGTAAACCCCAGCTATTTGGTACCTGAGTCTGATTATTCCAACAATATAGTACGCTGTGATATACGCTATACTGGCCACCATGCATATGCCTCTGGCTGTACAATTTCACCGTAAGTGCATTCCTTTTTCTTTGCTACTGTTTTATAGTCATAATACTAAGATTAACAGATTTATAAAGCTTAGAGATTAATTTTATATTGAAAAATAATTTCCACTGAATTCTAGTGATAGCATTTTTTACTATGTCATTTCATGAGTTTCAGAAACATCTAGTATATTAATTAGAAATAGAGCTGGTATTTTTCAAAGGACTGTTTATGGAAGGAAGGATGGGAACAGTTACTTTCCTGATAATTGCATAGCTTTCAAATACTTAACCCTGGTATTTAAACTATTTCTGTAATGAATTTTTGAAATTATTTAGGCTTGAAAAATGATCTTTCCAGAATTCATCCTTCAGTCAGTGCAGGACTCTTACCAAAAGTCTTTGATGGAGAATTTTGCTTTTGCAATCTTGCTATCAGAAAATATAGTACTTTCAAAACTACTGCTGCTGCTGTCTGAGCTCTCAGATATTACCTCTGGCTCAAGTCTTCTTTATATTTGTCCTGAAACTTTCCTATGCTCATTCAATATCCATTATAGCATTTACACAGAACTGTTGAGCAGTGACAGGACTCTTAAAACATTTCATAAGAACCCACACACAAATCTTTCTTTGCTGCTTCTGCCACTGTAGCCATCCTTCCTGAAACAGTTCTTCCAGACACACTCCATTTACAGTTTTCCCATTAGCTCCTCAAATGTTTGAGCAATGACACAATTGTACCTGTCCCCCCACACACACACACACAGAAGAGCAATCAGTAGTTTGTAACACAGAAGTAACACATATCAAGTTGTTTCATCTGAATGGCACAAATGATGCATTAACATTGGGTACAGATCCATGTAAGATATATTCTAAAGTTGTGAATGAACAAAGTGTAAAACAAATTGTGAAGTCTGCTAGAACAGCATTAAACAATTATACCGCAATTATACTGCATTAATGATAATATTGCTTACTTAGCCTTTAAAATAGTCCTTCCTCACTCTGTATTAGGATACCTGTGATTCAGTGAGGCTAAAATGAGAAACATTTTTTCACCTGTGTGTTGAGAGCTGTATTTATAATCATACTTAGGTCATAAATGCAACAAGGTAAATGGATTCAGCATAATCCTTTACTTGTTCTCACCATACATTGGTTGTGCTTGCAAGAAACAAAGCAACAGCATTCTGCAAGTCATGAGCACTCATTTTTGGCCTACCCCTGAGGAGGAGCTTTTAAAGCATTTCTCTAACGGGCTAGGACTGACTTAATAGGTCCTTCCATAAACACCTGTTCACTCACATTCAGGTTGGAGGGAAATTTATGCTTTGTTCCTTTAAGTTATAACCTCCCATCTTATTCCTATAAATGTAACCAAATAGATTCATGCAGGTGAGAAGATGAAAACTTCTCTTTTAGCCTTTGTTAAGCTGCATCTTCAGGTTGACAAAGAAATAGTTAACAGGTATTTTTATATTGTATTTATTTGGTCATGTGCATAACATTTACTTTTTTTTTTTTTTCCTTAACAGATATTAAGAAAGATGCAAGAAAATGGATGAGCAGTGCCAAGCGTTTTGAACTGAAGGATCATTATATAAGCTTCAAGAGGATATAAACACTATAGAAACAAAGCTACAGAACATGCATGCATACACCCTCATACCTTATGTGATTTTGAAGTACTTCAACTGCTTCTCAAAATTTGCGATGGGATTTTAAGCATTTGAATTGGCATTCCTTTTTAAACTATTGAAATGTGTGGAACTGGTGATTCATGCACAGACATATATATATATATATATGTATATAAAATCTAATTCATAGTAATTTTTTAACTCCTGAAAATTTGGAGTTCAGATGGTAGATGTCAGTCAGAGTATTACTGGTGAATGAGTTGAACATATTCTAAAAAGGTAGCAAAACTTTATGCAAAGTGCATTAAATAAAATATGATAGAAAGTATAATGCCAGCTATCCAGAAAATACCAGAACATTTGAGAATAAAAACTTTGAGAGTAATACTACAATGCCACTAAAATAAAACTCACTGGGACACATTGATATGAATGAGAGAAGTATGATCGGTTTTCAAGAGATTAAAATACAGCAGAGAAATATATATCTATTAGTTATACCCCTGTGAAAAAGTTACATTTGTATTTTTAATACATTAGAAGGGTTTTTTGTTTGTTTTAAATCAAACATAGATAGGTTTTTGAAAGAAGCCTTTTTATCTTTGGCGACCAAATTAAAGAACTGATCCACCTTTTTATGTTGAACAGATTTTTCAAGGTGGGGCTTTTTAAAATATTTCTGCACACATAATGGTAATTAAAATGAAAACCTGTCAAGAAAAAATGGGCCTTTAAAGAGTCCCTGATGTAGTCATCTCTGGAAAAGCAATCAACTTGAACAGGTTAACCATTAAAATAATGCATGCAATTTACTCAGGTGGCACTACAGGCAAAAGTAGGTCAGAATCTCTAACATGGAATTTCTATTGTGAAAAGGCCTACCACCTGCTTCACCTTAAGTACTGTACTTTAAAGAAAATGCATATCTCGGCATTCAAATAATGAAGTGGAAATTATACTATATATAGAAGGAGAACAAAAGTGAACATATTCATCCTATTCTACGTTAGGTAATTCAGGAACCAAATACAACATTTTTAAGGGGAAAAACCTCAGCCCAAGTTACTTACTGGTGCTGGATATACCACCCCACCTCCCTTCCCCAAATTATTTTAATTATTTTGCTTTTGCAGTGCACCCTGCTGTAAGATAAAGTAGCTGTGATTTTGTTTTTAAACTGTGAAATGACATATCACAAGAAGATCTAGGATTTTTTATTATTATTATTATTTTAAGAAGATCACAGATCATATTAAATGAAGGATTTACTTTTGGAAGAAAGTGGCTTAGAAATAATTGATTTGATTATGTTTTACTGGCAGTTCAAAACACCAAATTTAAAAAAGTTCAAATTCATATTTTTTACTATATGCGCTATTGATTATAGTTAAAAATAAAAATCTGAGGAATATGGAAAGGCTTTATTATCACTTCTGAGGATTCATTAAACAATATTTGTCAAAAGCATTTTATGCAGTAGAACCACACAAATTTAATCTGGAAGTTTTATGGATTACCATAATATTTTTGAAGGATCAGCTTTTTTTAAAAAAAAAAGTATATTTATTTCATGAATATTAAGTACTTCCATCTCAGCTGTGCCAGAAACTTGCACAACTAGAAAATATACCTAAAGCAATGGAATCTAAGAAAGAACCATTGACCTAGTGCTTACTACCCCAGATTAGATGTGGGTACAGAATGAATACAGTTTACACCTGCAGGTCCCCTCTTGTTTGTTCAGAGATCCATTTTAGTAAACAGTCATCAGTATGGGCACCTAACAGGAGTGAAATTTGAAAACTGTGTTAGAAGTCATTTTTTTTATATCCTGCAAAATGATGGTTTGTTAGGATTTTAGACTTTTGAAATCTCAGCCCAAAGGCTTTTTAAGATGAAAAGGTTGGAAGGTAATAGTGTGTTTCCTTCTGTTACCTTTCTAGAAACTTAGGTCAAAGTTGATTTTAAAAATTCTGACAGCAGCTTGGGCAACAGATCCAGAAATTCCTGCAAACCAGGCTGTGAGCACAGGCTGTTTTCTAGTAAGAGCTCACACATACTTCTACCTCCTGCCCAACAGTGAGTGTGGGATAAGAAAATGTCAATTTGCCACAGTGACCAGCAGAAATTGAATTTACACTGCAGCTTACAAGGCAATAACCTGTTCATGCGTCAATACTCTAACTGCCTGCAGAACTCCACTGAAGTCAGTAAGGACTAGAGGAGCACAAGTAGCTGCGTAGCTGGAGCAAGTTGTAATATTGGACTTAGTCCTTTTAATGGGAACAGCCTTATTTGAAAAGTGTTGGGTCACCAGGAGCTTCAGAAAATTGTTGAGGCACATTACATGGGAGTAAGATGAACTGAGTTACTGGGGGAAACTCTGTTCTAGGCAAGCGGTATCTACTCACTGGCATTTGTGGGATGCTGTAGCTACAAAGATATTCTTAGCAAAATACAAAATTTGAAAGGTATGTTAACATGACACCTATGTATAAAATAACACAAAATTGCTTAAGGTAACATGAACCATCTATTTAAAATAACCAGGGTTTTTAGAATAATAATAAAAATAATAATAACACAAAAACACAGAAATGCATCTTTAACTTCCCCTATGGATCGATAGTAAAGGTAGGAAAAGTTAGAGAGTTGATTATGTACCACATGAGGAAGCTTTCTAAATGGGGGAGTGCCAACCAGTATTTTCAATAATTTGGCACTCTTTTGACCCAGACACCTTAGCCTACTTTTTCATACTGGAATACTATTTAAGAGATTACTTTATTTTTTTTTTTTGTGGAAAAATATTTCTAAAAAACAGTTTTGGTATGAGTTTATTTTATAAAAAAAAAAAAAAAAAAGCTACTTTGAAATTCTTTTTAACCAGGCATAAGGTTTGTTCCTATTGTCTATGCAAGGGGTCTTGCCATTGGTCTGAGAGCAATATCAAGACAAAGTTGCTGTCTTAACAGTCTCTCATTTCCTTTGAAATGCCAGTTTAAAAATCTGCATGAAGCAATTGCCTCCCACATTTCAGCTCTTTAGATAAAAAAAATGCACATAAGGATTATTCTGAACACTAGATACATTACAGAAGGGCTTTATTATATTTTTTAAAATCCTGAAATACGTGTGATATTTGCATATTTTTGGACAAAAATATAACAAAAATGAAAGACTGGTCACCAACTGAACCAACATACTGTGTAGATTATGTTTTTATGATAGTAAAAGCCTATCCATTTTCTCTCTGCTTCAGAGTTTACTATGCAGCATTGAAGGAGTACAAACACCAACTGTACCCTCTTAGTCATTCATACATGGTTTCTATTGTACTTATTCAAACCAGCAGGGCAAATTTCATAAATGAGACATTGAAAAATGGTTTATCCTGTGTCTCACATTTATGCAAATATGGCATTTTCCTATTCTCCAAATTCTAGAAGGTGCTGAAATATTTTAACTTGAATTAAAACTGAAAAGTATGCTATTGGTAGGTTTTTATTATGTAACTAAATGCTATAGATACAGTGAAATGCCACTTTTTTCAGCTTTTTAAAGGGTTTTCATTATTTCCTTTACTTCTTCCAAGAGTCTTAATTTCAAAATCTTTGCATCTTTATCTGAAGTGCCTTTATTTATAATCAAACACTAACTTTGTATTTTTCATTGCACTTTCATATTCTTGTGTTACATACCCTTATTATGGTTGCAAAATTATGTGAAAATGACTTGAATAAAATGTTTCAAGTGTTCAACTCATCAAGTTCTTCAATAAATACAATGCTTCAACAAGAAGCTTGAGCCACCTCTCAATGAAAACCTTAGAGAAATTGTGTGCATCTGTAGAGAAATAGAAAGACTGCCTTTTGACAAGTATTAATTGAAAGGTGGGTCTCAGAGTATGAAATGCCAAAATTGACTAAAGCCTTAGTCATAGTGTCTGTTGATTTGAATTAGACTCTATTAGAAATCTTTACAAATGCAGGATGTTTGTTTAATGATTGTGTTCAAGTTACCAAGCTTTCCAAGTGCAGGAACTCATTTATAAGAGAGTTATGTTTTTCTTAAGTTTAGTTTAGTTAGTTATTTCTGCTAAACCTTTGTTTCAATGGTCTTCCTCTGTAAAAGAAAACACCCGTTGACATATGCAAGAAAAAGGAATATGATGTAAACACCACATTCTTGGAAAATAAATATTAGAACAATATTACAGAGCAGGTTTAGTTTAGATAATTAGGCAAAAGACTTCATCATTTCTTCAAATACGGAAGCCAGGGGCATTTAATAAACCTAGGTCTCCACAACACGCTATATGAATTGCACAGTACATTATCTTACACTCATAGCAGTCAATTACCAAGTTTCTGGATTCATTTTTTAAGATTCTCAAATAAAATTATAGTTAAATAAACCACACAGCTGAAGATTAATTACCAGCTCAGAAATTTGTTTCTATTAACCACTAGCGAAAGCCTCTCAAGAAAAAATACAGTGAAGATTCTCATATCTCAAACTTACTCCAAAACTGAGAAATGCCACTTAAATCAGTCAAACATTCCTGAGTGTGCAAGAGATCTTCATTTTCAGCATTCTTTAGGAAATAACCAAATCATTTTGACTACCAAAGGTAGTTATTACACTACCTTTTCATATACGTTCAATTTTCTTAAATATCGGCATGAGGAATAAGAAAGACTACTTTGAATTATGCAACAAGTGCAAGACATACATATTGGAGCACTCTGACATTTTCCAGAACAAGAACATTTAATACATTTTTTCAGTTCTTCAAACTGCCAACATAATCAAAGAAAGGGATCACAATTTATACAGGTCAATATTTTATTGATATCTAGAATTCTTCATATCATGAATATTTCTGATCTACTTCTCTAGCTACTTAATAAGTGTATGAATTTATGAAGTCTGTTCAAGTTTAAGAGAACTCTTACCTTTTCTCAACTGAAATGCACATGGTAATATATTCTTAGGATTATTTCTTCAGTAGTGATATTTTACCTTCTCTCCTCTCTTGTATCCAAGGCCTCTAATATATTTTTACTCAAAACTCCAAAGAATCCATACTACTCTTGGAGGGCATAAATGATGTTCCTCAAAACATTCATTCACGTTAGAGTGTACTTCATTAATGTCAAAACTTTAATAGAGCTTGCAAACCAACACTGCATAACCTCCTGTTACTCAAGACACCACACTGCATTATTTAGCTAATCTTCATTATAAACAGATGATTAGTTCTAGCAACAAAGCTTTTAAATATCATCTCAGTGAAGACTTCTAGTTTATCTTCTATTCTTATCGGGAGGGGGGAAGTGTTCCAACACCAGTTGTTGCTCCATAAGAAAATATCACCAGATGCGAATCTACATGAATTTTCTTTTAAAATCTGAGTTTACATAAAGTCTAGTCATCAAATGTAATCCTTTTCCCTTGGAACACTGTAATTTGAGACATTTGGCCCTGATGTTTCTTGCTTGCTTCCCACGAAGCATGAAAAGGCTGCTCCAAACATGCTTTTTTACTTTTCCATTTAGTACCTGCAACTTCAGCAAATTGATGCTTCTTGACCCGTGGTACCTTTTTAGGAAAAGATGTACAGGAAATACAATATAAAATAATTAACTATATCATGAATGTTTATAACAAGGTGGTAAAATTACCTTATGAAGGTAGACATTTACAAGAATTTTCTAATGAGATACAGGTAACATTAATCTGAGTGTTTAAAAGAAATTACTAATACAGGTTTCCTCATCTTGCAACTGAATAAACTGTCACTTGGTAGACTGTAGATACTTTAGCTTTATTATTACTGACCACATGCAAAATTTGTGTAGACTAATATTCATCACAATCTCTACTTTTTTTTCTGTGCATTAAACCAATGCAACTCAATATGACTGAAACACTGATTTAATGAGTTCAAAAATGAACTATATAAATGTAGTAAAATATTGAAAGAGTCAAATAATTATAGGCTAAAAACTACACGTTAGGGATAAATATCTGACAGCCTTGTTTGTTCACAGGTAGCACTAACTGCTCAATATAAAGACAAATAGAAAAGCACTGTCCCTTGTGAACCCTACTTTAAATATTTAAAATATTTCAAAATAGGAAATAGCATACAATATCCACAGGTTAAAGCTCAATAATTTTACCATGATAACAACAAATGTTAAAATACATACTACAGTACTGAAACAAAACAAGAAATAGCCTATTGTGATTAGACTACAGAAGTAACAAAATCAAGATGTCTTCACAATCAATTTTATCAGATTAAGTAATACAGACCTGTTCTCCTGTTTTTGAGAGGCTGGTCTTCAGTATTTCTAAAAATATAAACATTATTTAGGATTTCTCATGAAATTAGTAAGAAGCAGCATTTGCCAATAAAGGGTTATCATTAAAGTACTTGTGTAGTGACTCCAAGCATTATAACATGCCAAAAAATCCTATTTGTTAAAAAAAAAAAAAGTAAAAATAGAAATATTCAGATGTGGTTTAAATTTAGACCCAAGTTTACTAAGGAATCCTAAATGTGAATATGAAAAATGCATAAGGGTCAAGGAAGCACAGAAAGAGTGGGTTAAGAGAAAACATTCTAAATTGTAATTGGCTGAAGTTCTGCTTGTTTGCTGATGGCTGCTAAAAAAAATAATTACAATAATTCCCATTGCTGGGAGGAAAGTAGGGAACAGAACAAAACAAAACAAAGGTTTAACTTTTATTGTGAGGTTTCTGATTAGAGGTAGACAGCGAACTGCAGAACATTGATTCTAACTTCCTTGCTTCTGCATGTAGCTTGTTCTCTGATCAAATCTTGCATCGTCCTAGGCATTGTGTTCTTTTCTTTCTTCAGTGTTGTTTTCTCTGGTCTGTTCTTTTCCTTTATTGAAGAAAGGTTACTAACTGCTGCTATATTTTTCTTTCTTTTTACTTTGCCAAAGAAGAAATCATGATTGCTATTACTATCATAGTCTGACATCTGGTTATAAAACCTTTCTTCAGTACCATCATCCAAGTATTCTTCATTATATTGTTCCCTGTCACTAACATCACTGATTATTTGTCGCAGTGAATTTGATCATGCTTATAGGTGGGTTTTTTTTTTCTTTTTGGGCAGTCAAATTTCTTTCCTACTTTACTCTGAGCGACTGCTTGCCTTTCTGCTGCCTGTAATGAAACTTCTTTTGGAGTATATACTTTCTCACTTTCCCCAATTCTTTTTGCTCATAATCACTCTCACCAAGTTTTTTCTCTGCGTTAGCTCCTGCTTTCATACTCATTTTTGTTTTTCCTTCACATGCTTGCTGTTTTTGAATTACTTTAAGAATTTGGTCATCCACATTGCTATTGAGATGTTGTGCTGATTTACGGCATTCTTCTAATTTATCTTTTATTTAAAGTTAGATTTTGTCTGGTGTCTTTCTTGGATCCTCAAAAGCTTTTATAGCAGCTGTAAAAAATGGCAGAAAAAACATATTTTTTGCACTTATACATGACAGTACATGCATTATCTTAACAAAACATTTTTACAAGTTAAATTTATTGTATTAAGTATATTTTGAATGTTTATCAATCAGTTACTGAACACACAGGGCAAAGAATGCCTTAGAGAATAATGGAAATGAAAGTGGGGAAAGGCAGCTTGAAATTATTACCGAGTCAATACACTGTTTTTGAACTTGGGTTTAACTATGAGCTCATCTTTCAACAAGTAAACTGCAGTTTATAACCATGCTTGTTTAGGGCAATACATTGTGTGTAAAGTCTTCAAAGAAATAGTAAATTGCTCTAATATAGTTGAATGGGTATTTGACATAGTGGCCCTCCCACTAGGACTTCACCCTTTTTAACATCAATTTTCATTGGAAAATGAGTTTACAGAGATAAGCAGATATCCTAAAGGACCTCAACAATAGTTTCCAAAGAAGCTTACAGAGTTATTTGTGAAATAAAGTTGAAAACTCAGGTTAACTTGTTACTATTCTCATTGCCAGTTCAATCTGTCTTATTTTAGAGATATTCCATTACATCCATTGGCTTTTTAGCATCCCTATTATGAGCCCTGTATGTCCTACAGTCCATATCTTAAAATGTCATGGCATACTGTCTTATATAGGCCCATTTCAACCAATTCACATGACTACAAACTTGTGATATTATTTTAACTGCAGCTAGATAAGGTAGTAGCAAGAACTGTTATACTTACTGTGCGTTCATCTCAGGAATATATAGGAGCAAGGTAACATCCCTGTAAACTACACAGTCTCAAACAAATTAGTATACTATTTCATACCTTTAAGGTCCTTTAAGGTTCATACCTTTCAAGTTTGTTGTAAGTCTTGCAACAGCTCACTCGGTTGCAGTAGAATTTGGCTTTACAAAATAGATTAAAGGGAATGAACTCATAATAGTGAAGACTTGCTTAGGTCTGTATGAGGTAGGCTACTATACATAATAAAGCGATTCTCAACCAGTGATTGAATAAGAGAACAAGCTTGTGACGCTATCATGCTTCAATATATCAAAAGACCATTCCCTCCAAACCATTGTATTGACAGAAGGCATTCTATATAAAGGAATAAAGCAGCTTGAGAGTCGTGCAGTTCACATTAAAAATGTTAAAGTTGGCAACATGTTATAGCAGATACTGAAGGACTGTACATTAAGTGTGGATAAGTAAGGAGGAAAGTCAAATCTGATCTTAAAGTCAAACAACTTTGAATGTGATTTGGTAAATACTCGAACTCTACAGACTAATTCAAAGATTAAATGTTATCTTAAGGCTTTAATTTGAAGGAAAAGGAGAAAAAAGGAATCATGTCCCTTTTAGACTTCCTCTCATCTATTAGAGGTCACAGGTAACTACATATTGGAAAAGCTATTTCAGTTTCAGGTTCTTGTCGTTGCTTTGCTTTAAGAGCAAAATGAGTTATATGAGATGACTACAAATATACTTGTGTCTTCTCTTTTGAGAAATTGAGCAGAAAAGTTTCTTAAAGCCTGCAATAGAATTCTTTGGGAGAAAGGAGAGGGAGAAAAAAAAAAAAAAAAAAAGGAAAGGAGGGAAAAAAAAAAATCCCCTGCTCCTTCAAATGGTACAAACATGACCTAGCAATGCATGCTCAAAGTATCTGCTTGACATAAGAGCGCTTAATGGGGAATTTTATCACACTATATGGACCTTTTTCCCCAGTGTAATTTGACACTTAATATGAACATTAATATGAACATAATATAATCATTAGTTAGAAAGAGATGGACACTTGATGTCAAGCACTGATGCAGGAGATTGTGCTTGGGTCTGAAGGATCCTGAAATTTAGACTCTTGCATGGTCCTGCTAAATTTCCTAACAACAAAGACATTATACCAGAACTGGTCTTTCTAAATATAGAAGTGTTAAATTTGGGGCAGAAAGGTACATCTTGTTTCTCCATCAATATGAAGCACATTTAATTTATTTTATTTTTTATTTTCTTACCTTAGCTCTAGAGCTTATGAAATATATTCTGGATATGTTCCTTTCTCCTCAAGTCCTGTTGTTACAGAATTATTCAGGTCAAGGAAATAGAATTAAAAAAAAACAAACCCTCACAAACAGAAAAAAAAAACACAACAAAAAACTCACAAAAACTGTTTCCTTCGTAGCTTGTCTACAGTGCTCTAAACACTGGCCAGAGAAGATGAGTCAGAGATGGGTCCATTTCCAAGGGGCCACAGGCTGGCTTTCTTTCAGGCTAGCCTAGCTTTGCAAACTTGGTTTGAACTTTGATTCCCATGTGAAAGTGCTGCATACTGCAACCAGATTCCTGGAACAGCAAGCTCACATTTCTACAGATCAAACAGTATTTTCTTTTGAGATTTCTCTATAACTAGAAAATGTATTTCTGAATTTAACATGCTTTTTCCCTCAGCTACTTCCTGTGGATTTTGAAAGAATATACCATAAAGTTCAGAAAGTAGCAGCTTCTGTGCAACATCTGGTGTCCTTTAATTCAAGTATTTAAAGAAAGGGTTTAAGCATATACATGCCAATTCATATGGAATAAGCACATTTTTTCCTTACAGCAAAATACTTCACAAACACTATTCACACAGATCCACAGCAGCCAACAAACATACAATGTGACACAGACATTCTTAAAAACTTCACATTTTTCTGCTCTTTGGTACATACAATGTTGGAATCATTTTTCCTTAAGTATTTTCCAGTACATAAAAATTGTCAAAAAATATAGTAGAAAAATGTCAACTTTATCTACAGCAAGAACAACCTCCTGCCATGTTTGTTTATGCAGATGCTGGAATTGTACATATTTATTCTGATGAGTCCATGCTACTGCTTGTATTATTTTGCACTAATATTTTCCTTTCATGCAAGAATGTCCTAATACTTTCCACAGGAACTCTTCCTCATTCAAAGTCCAAGTGAGAAGCTGTAAAATGAACAAAGCAAATGAGAATTGTATATTTACATTTTCCAGTGAAATATTTGAAGCTACTTACAGAGGAACCTGAAAGTCAAAGTTTCCTCCAGCTTTTTATGTTGGTAAGCAGTGCAGTATTTCAGCAGATAGTATTAAAGATGCCTATGTGTAGGAGAAAGGGAGACTGCTGACACCAGTTGGTCATCAACAAGACTCGTTTATTAGTCGTTTTAGCTTGCTTCTTATACATTTTGGTTGTTTACTCGACCGGTATTTTGGTTGTTTATTCGAAAGATAACTTCTGTCTGGCCAGCCCAGATTACGGTAGATAAGCAAGCAGCTTCCTCATTCTTCCTGCCTTATCCCCTCAAAGTTGTTTACGAAACTAGCCAAGGACAGAGTGTCCTTGCCTTACCAGCACGTAGTCAGCACTTCTCTCCTGAGGCCTAATCTCCCAGAAGCCCCTGCTTGCTCAGTTGCAGGCCTGAACCAAAGTCAGTAGAACCATACTCACGTCCACGCTCTCGTAGCCAATTCCCAACAATTGCTGCAAAATATTGCGGAGCCCCCCAGTAACTCCCATTACAGCAAAGCAGGCCGTCAGGTGACAGATTACATGGACTGCCTTTTTTCCCGCCTGGGGAGTTGCCCATATGAAGTGGCTGAATGTGTCAATAGTGACATGAAGGTACTTCAAGTGGCCAAACTCTGGAACATGGGTAACATCCATTTGTCAGAGCTCACAAGGGCCTTGACCACGCGGATTTACCCCCATCCCGGTCCCGCCTACATTCGGGGCAGGCGTGCACGATTCCCCTGGCCTCTTCCATGGTTATATTAAACTGACTTTTAAGGCCTTTAGCATTCTGGTGGAACATGTGATGGGCTTCCCTAGCCTTAATGAAGTCATTGAGAGGTACGGCCGTGGCCACCAATTGATCAGCCCTGTGATTACCCTCGCCCAGACCCTGAGTCCACATGTGACTCCTGATGTGTATCACAGCATACGGGCACAACCGTTGTTGCAAAGCGGTTTGCAACCTGCGTAAGAGCTCATTCAACCGCGGATTTTTAACATCCCGGACCCTCGCCCCCTCTATGCGCGTAACAATTCCAGCAACATATAAAGAGTCCGTGACCAGATTGAGCCGCTCATTTTGCCATCTAAGTACCGCCCAAACCACCTCAGCCAGTTCCAGCGTTTGTAGTGAGTCCCCTGCGTCTGCTTCTAGCAGGTGGTGATGCCATTCCACTCCTTCCATCCAGGTGATAGCTGCTCGTCGTGATTTCTTCCCTGCATCCGTGAAGGCGGTGACTGCGTCCACTAACGGTACTTCACTTCTTTTATGTGGCATAATCCACTCATTTCGGCTCACCCATTGTAGTTCCGGTGACTTTATAGAGTCTACTTTGATATCAGCAGCTGTTGATAATAGACTCGTTTGTAATTCTCCAGAATGCTGCAGGTACCATTCAAGCAGATCTCTTTTTATTGGAATTCTAATTACACCTGGTTCCATTCCCGTGATCTGCACCACTCGTGTTTTCCCTTTCATAATCAGTTCCGCCAAGTTTTCTACTTTCTGCTGAATAGTTGTGTGTGGTTGCAGTGATGTATACAACCATTCGAGATGGCATTTCAGCGTTTGGTTCTTCATTCTTACTTCCTGTGCTGAAGTATTTCCCTAGTCTCTTTCCAGGGATACAAGTCAGAGTACAACTCCCAGTCCTCCACTGGTGGGGGTGGGGTGGAGTACACCGTAGTCTGAGTTACTCCTGGCTTTCCCGCTTTCAAATTCTGCACTTTCTTGTTGTACTTAGTCAGCCCTCTCTGCTGATA